ATGAAGTGCAGATTTCGTGGCGCGGGGGGGGTTGGGGGGGGCGCAGCACCCCCCCCAGCAGCACACCAGATCCAAAGGTGAGCAGCTCGTGCTCGCTTGCTTGCTTGCTTGCTTGCTTGCTTGCTTCCTTGTTTGGTTTCGTCTCTGCAACGCAAACAACAGGAAAAGCAAATGCAAAAAGAGAAAGGAGAACAGCTGCCAAAAAGAAAGAAAGAAAGAAAGAAAGATAGATAGATAGATAGATATAGATAGATAGATATAGACAGATAGATATAGACAGATATATATATATATAGATGGATAGGCCAAAAAGCCAAGAGCCACGAAAGCCACAAAAGCCAAAAGCCGCAGAAGCCACGAAAGCCAAAAGCCACAGAAGCCACAGAAGCCACGAAAGCCAAAAGCCACAAAAGCCAGAAGCCACACAAGCCAGAAGCCAGAAGCCAGAAGCCACGAAAAAACAAAAAGAAATCAAAAAAGGAAAAACACATCCAAAATTAAATAGCCCTCCATTACTGATCGACGCACTGGGCTCGTCCAAGGGGACGATGTCGCTGACGCTGTGCCAGATGCCTGTTGAACACCTGGATTCAATGAAGTCCCAGCTGAATGTGCTGAAAAACACATAAGTGAACACATACAATATATGTATATATATATAAATAGCAAACAAAACACTTGGGTTTGGTCTATGTGCTGTTTGAACAATGAGTGACTCTGGATATTTGGGATATATAGACCTTCTGTGACCTTCTGTTTGAACCGTATTATAGAGTCTAAACAAAGGTGATTTGCTTCTGGTCCAAATTATTCTAAATCTGGTGGACATTGCCAGCTTCGCCCACAAAACAGGTACATTCACAAAACAAACGCACATGGTTACAAGGAAGTGGAACAAGGTCCATTGCAGGAGCACTATCGAATGTTTGTGGCTTTGACCTTCTGAGCTGTGCACGTTTTCCTATGCATTCCCAATGTCCATTACCCAAACACTCCATGTATGCCATATATGCCTGCATTGACCACAAAAACCACCCCAATGTAGGCATATACGGCAGCCCATGGACCATGGAGTGTCTGGGTTACTTTTTAGAAGGGATCAATCGTCCAATGCCCTTTCCCTAAAAGAAAGATACTTTGCAGACCGGCCAAAACAGTGCTCACAACGCGCGCGGTTCAATTCCGATGTGCAATGCAAAATGGTCACTCTGGATTTCAGGGTGGCTTTCGTAGACCGGGGAGCGGCAAACTGGGGAGTGGTCCGAACTCCTTCCATCAACTCTTCAGTACGGGCGAACAAACAAAACCAGCTTGCATCCAGAAACTCATTCGCATCATCATCCTCTCAGAGAAGTCTTGGCCTAACCTTGGATGGTGAATTTGGACTGCCCAGAAACTGACCAGTTTGGCCAGCCCAGAACAAATAACTAGATCGTCAATGCATCAGGGTTTGGACCAAACTTCAAAGCAACATTCAGAATCAAACATCTTTACAGCATCTTGGTTTCCAATGCTTGGCAGAAATACTCAGAGAAATCGAACAATATAAGAACATATAAGAACTATATAAGAACGCCTTGTCCCAAAACTGTGCTGGGCAATTGGGACCTTTAAAACATGGGAGGCCAAATGTCCGTGATCAGTGATCCATAGTCTGCGAACTGTGTGCGGTTGCAGTACCCTGCAACATGGGCCCCGATATCCTGGGTCCCCTGTCTTTTGAAGAACTCCGACCTGCACCAATTATTGGATTCTCCAATCCTCAAACATAACCCAATTATAGAAGTTCATATACTCAATTGTCTTGTTGTAGGAGCAAGGACGCTACTAGGGGCTCGTGGCATCGCTACTAGGAGCAAGGACGCTACTAGGGGCTCCTGGCCTTACTACTAGGAGGGCATCATCAAGCAACTTAACTACACGACTTATTCCACCGCGCCTCGCACCACCGCCTCCCAGAAATTCTTCACCCGGTGGCTGCTGGATGCAGCTTTCCGCTGCGGCGACTTGCTCCTCACCTGGGGAGGTTCAAAAACACTCTCTGGAACTCACATGGTTAGGTGGAGTTCACCCCCTGGTTCTAAGGAGAGTAAGTCAAAAGGTGATGGGGAAAGGGAATGATCAGGTTGTGCGGATCGGGTCTGTTGTACTGCATCGTTGAACAACAAATTACCTGATGGAGTTGTGCTGCACATGAGAGATAGTGAGAGGTTTAGTCCTCTTGTGTGGATCTTGAAAACGAACACCAAGAATACAACGTTATCACAAAACATCATCTAATGAACGCGCCCAACATAGCTCGCTTTGCAGGCCCCAGATCTGGATCTGAGGATTTGCAAGAGCGTGGCTCCTTGGAATCTCAATGTGGCCCATGGTGGCTCCAATTTCGAGATTTCTCTGCTCTCAATTGGATCTGGATGTCGCACATGGGATGTCTGCATATACTCTCCCAACTCCATCCTGACCCCCCCCACCAACCCACCCAGCGTGATCCGGCGTGCCGGGTCCTTTGGAACTGCCCACGTGCCGCCCAGGTGACTCACGTCGCCCGTGAAGACGTCCGAGGCCCAGTTCTGCACAGTCCGCGAGTTGGAAGAAAAGAACGAGCAGCTGTTTGGATCGATTCCTGGAACAGGCCTCCAACCTACTAGCGATGGCCTCCCCTACTAGCGATGGTCTTCTTTGGTGTTTCTCCGAACTTTTCCACCTGTTCGACCAAGCAAGTGGGGTGCTTCAGGGCACAAAGAAGGTGATCTACTCACTGGGTAGGAACAGGTGTAGTTCCGTTGCGAGAGTTGGCAATCAGTGCAAGCTTCAAGGAAACAACATCGGCAGCGAAGCGTGGATCTCTCGTCCTATTTGAGACACGTGCATGAAACACAATCCCATCTACTGACGAGCAGCCGAGTCTCTACTCTTGGTTTACAGGGATATCTTTCGCCTGAAGGCCAAACACGGTGACTCTTTTTCGGTCAAGACTCTGCGACCTGGTGATCAACAACGCAACAAAAACGTTCCATATTATGGGGGGTCGTTGGACTTTCACTTTAGATTCTATTCTTAATATATAGTCATATTGTGCATACAGGATCCCTGCTGAAGTTGTCATGACGCAGGTGAAAATGTCCAACTATCGGACACTTCCTTGCCAGGAGAGCTAAGAAACAGTTCCACGCGTCAAAAACGACCGGATTCCGCAAAAACCATGTTTTTTTGTGGTTGGGGCGAATTGGGGTTTGGAAGCGAACGACCCCATCGGCCTGCAAGGCTGCAATGAAGAGGTCAGGGTTCGCCATCATCCGCACGCACTGGTCCCACTCGGTCCGTGCGGGCAACGTCCCCTTGCGCTCCAAGCGGATACCTTCATGCTCGGTGCGCGGCTGCTATTTTCGCTACAACGCAGTGGTTTTAGGTTCCATGTTGATCTTCCAGGGCGTAAGAAAACAACAGTACAAACTAAACAGTGCTAATGTGCTAATTTTGTTTCAGCGTGTTCCCCCATTGTTGGGATACGTCGAGCAAGCAGCCGTGGAAAAACAAAACAAGAGAGGGCACATTGTTATTGTTGATGCTGTTGTTGTTGTTGGTACTCTTGTTGTTGGTGGTGGTAGAAGCAAAAGCAGCTGCCCAACATAGTTGTCACACGTTGTGTTGTAACTCTGGAACTTCAAGGGGACAAGGTTAGGGATAGGGTTTAAGGTTTGAGGACATGTTGGTTTCGTAAGTAACTGGACTTGTTGGATGTGTTTCACTGAAGCCTGGGTTGGTCCGGCTGTGTTTTTGAAATGTTGTTCTGGAACGGGGGGGCAAAACAATGGACGCGGCTGAAGTGTTGTATTTCATTGGTATTTACAATGGTTTTGTTTTAGAAGTGTCTTTGCAGGCACAACAAATATCCCCATTCATCCCAGAGAAGATGCTTGTGTCGAACATGTTTTTCGTTCATTTTTCCCCAACCAGTTTACTGTTAGGGGTTCTCAATTCATTCTTAAGATGTGTCCGCCCTTTGTGTCACTGCTGGTGTCTGCCCTGGAACGCTGGCCATCTATCATTTCAGTCACTGCTGGTGTCCGCCCTTTTCCCTTTGTCCGCGCTCTTGTCTCCCTTCTTGTTGGTCATTGTGTCCGTCTTGTCTCCCTTCCGTTTCCTTTTCTTTCGCTTCTTGTCTCCCTTCTTGTTGGTCATTGTGTCCGTCTTGCCTCTCTTCTGTTTCCTTTTGTCTCCCCTCTTGTTGGTCATTGTGTCCGTCTTGTCTCCCTTCTGTCCTCCGGTCTTGTCTCCCTTCTTGACTGTGTCCGTCTTGTCTCCCTTCTGTTTCCTTTTGTGTGCCTTCTTGTCTCGCATGACACACATATATCTTAGGAATAATGTGACTGTATAACTCAACTAATTGATGCCAACAAAATAATGCTGAAAACTGGTTGTGGTCTATGCTTGCACAATTCAAAAAATACATGACATCAATTACACAACAGTTGTTTCTCAGTCGGTCTGGTGCAAAGAGTGCCACCCGAGTGATCCAAAAAGATTTTTCATGGCACCGGTTTTGCAGTTGCATCGCACCTTCATCCCTTCAGCAGACCTTCTCACCCGACCCGTTCTTCAACAAACGCTTCCGCTCCATGGCATTTTTCCTCACGGCCCGCCTCGCTCTCGTAACATGGGGCTGCCCACCATGAGGTACAGCACCTGGGGCGGAACGAGGGGCTCGCCCCGACGCAGCCGGAATGAGCCGCTTCGCGCGCCGATGCTGTGTGGCGAGGTACGAGTATGAGGTACATAGGTATGATGTGTACGAAAAAGAAGAAATGGCCACGGTGGATTTCATGATGCTTCATGGAGATTGTCACAATGTTTGAATTGATTGAACTTGGTGGTTGAATGGAGCTCACATATCAAGGTTCGTTTGATTACTTGGCGTCCTTCATTGAATTGAGCCACCCTGGCACCAACAAAGAGTTCGCTGAGGCGGAGTTGCCACTGAATGAGGTCTGGCAAGCTGCAACATCTCACTGAACCAATCCATGTTGCAATAGCAACTATTTCTTCCATTTTCTTCCTATCCCTTCCCTTCATGTCTGCTTTCCCCTTCTGTTGTCATGTCCCCCCCTTTTTTCCTTCTGCGTTTATTCAACACCTGTGACCACCGAAAGTGATACCCTGCATCCCCTGGCTGGGCCGACGACAGTCAAAAATTTAGGAGGGTGATACCCAGCCCTTTGATATTCACACCGCTTCGCGGTCGAAGCCGCCAGCACAGAGTAAAGGGAAAACAGACACACACACACACACACACACACACACGCACACATACAGACATAAACATCCATCCATGCATACAGGCATACATACATGCAATTAGCACCCTACCGGCTCGGCAGCAACCTGCGCTCGCGGAGCCGGGAACTAGCAACTTGTGCTCTTGGAGCCGGAAGGAAATGTAAGCGTGAAGAAGCGTTTCGCTATGGCCCCGTATCTAATCACCAGCCTTTTCACAGAGGGTTCTGTCTCGGTGCGTCTGTCTCGGTCTGTCTGTTTCGGTCGGTCTGTCTGTCTCAGTCTGTCTATCTCGGTCTATCTCGGTCTGTCAGTCTGTGTCTCGGTCGGGCAGGACACACGGACAAACACACCCATGATGTCAACAGTGCAGTGTCCCGGGTTGCACATGCATCTGCGATGTCGAAAACATCATTCTCCATGGCCGGCATAACCAGCATCGCGAACATTTGGTCCAAAACCATATCCATTTGCAAAACACAGCATTTACCCATGCTTGAGTAAAGCTAAAGCTTAAGATTTATCTGGCAGATTTCTTGCGGTTTGTGCGAGCCTCAACGCCTCGGCACCTTCGGTGCGGGCGGATTTTTGTCTTTCGCTTAGATCTGTAACTTACACCTGCTTGACCTCATCGGCTTTCTTTAAGCTTGACAAGACGCACTATGCGTGACGATCAAATTCAACCTCATCAGCTCAATCTAACGCACCAACCCCAAGGGACCTGCTCGCTCTCTCATCTCCATCTCCATCTCCATCTCCATCTCTCTCTCTCTCTCTCTCGGGTGGCTATTCTCCGTTTTGTTCAGCTGCGCCAAGGCACGACTTGAAGGCATGCCCTGCAGAGCCGTGGCGGATTCATAAACGCCTTGATCTCCTCATTGACGACGCCCGCCCGGTCGGTGGTCGTTGACACGTTCAATGCTGAGACGTGGGATGACGTGGGATGCGTCGTCCCACAGTGGAGGCGGGAAGTGTTGGTCTTCCGTCAGTCTTGCGTTCCATTGCGTTCCCAAAAGACGTTCGTTCCATGCTGAGAAGAACATGATTACTCATTACTGGATTCCCCAATCACCATCATTTTCACACACACAAAGAACACGTAGCCGCGTTTTCCACAGCACTGATGCCATGCTCGAGTCTGTACACGTTTCGGATATAGTATATGGCAAACCATATGAGATCCCAACTTGGGGACTTTCCAAACGAAGGATGAGAAGCGTGACCCAAAGCTCTCCCTCTCCTGGATGTCCGGTCGCTTCACCTTCTCCAGGAGACGAGCCAAGTTCTTTCCCACAAACTCCTGCCATCAAACTCGCGGGTTTGCATGCGGCCCCCATGCTGAAAAGAACCACCGGTTAACCCATGGAAAGAGAGAGCCGGTTTCCTGAGTGTACAGAGTAGGCGACAGACGGGTCTTCTCGTGACGAAAAGAAGTTCACACCACCATAGCATCCTTGCTCCGTTCGTAGCGATGCCCTTTGTTCCTAGTAGCGTCCTTGCTCCTAGTAGTAAGGCCAGGAGCCCCTAGTAGCGTCCTTAAGACTACCCAAAAAGGTGCCTGACTAAAGCCGGATGTAAACTAGATCTTGTGCGCAGTCCTTCTGTCGAATCCTTCTCTTTGTCTACAAATGTCAGCAGCTTTGTGCTTTGGGAGTCAATTGTCTCTCGGACTTTTAAGAAGGGAAACGTCCTTTTCTCTTCCAACCTACGTGGGTGATGCTATGTCAAACGGTCAGGAATTATAGAGGGGTCAAATTTGCATCGTTCGCTTGGGGGTTCTCCCCTCTATTCATATGAATCTTAATCGTACAAGGCAATATGGCTGTGCGTCATTCTACGCTCCGCGGGGACCGACCCGTTGACCAACACCCCGGGTCCAATGAACCGATTCCTAATGGTGAACAGGATGTCAACCTTCGATGGTTTGTACGGTGAGGTGTTGACCCGTCCGGCCCGTCCGGCCCGTCCTTGGAAAGCTCGCGCAGCTGCGCGACGCGACCTGTCCCGGGCGAAAACAGGCCATGGACACATGGACACCGGTGATATCATGGATGGAACCCCCTTCTGAATGGCGGGATGCAATGGTATCTGACCTTCCTCAACTGCTGAAATCCACAAAACGAGTTTTTGGCCGAGCCAAAAGTCCGGACGGCGATGCATATCGGAGAAATCAGCTTGGGCCGGTTTCGAAACGGTGGGTTCCTTTTCGGTGTTTTGCGCACTCTTGACCCGAAAATGGATTCAACTGATCCCAAATTCACACAGAAAATTCTGAATGCGTTCATTGGGGTCATTGGCCAGACTTAAAAATAAAGGCTTTCCAATTTCATCCAATGTCGCGTAGTACTCTGGTATCAAAGATCCTGGGATTGGGATCAGGACTCGCTTTCACCATGGAGGAAACTCCAAAAAAGTCAGGAATTTTATGATCGAGAAATCAGCAGGCCTTCATCTTGATCCATGAGTGTGAGTCTTTGACCTCAGTATATTGAGACACACAGCAAGGTCAAGGGCAAGTTCTTCGACCTGATGCTAAGGAAACTTCGATGCGAGAAATACTTCAACGTGTGAAAGAACATATTTCTGACATTTCCGACAGAAAGTGACATGGTGGTACGACCTCTTTCCTTGAAAGTACCTCTGCATGCTGCGCAAGCATAAGTCTCTGACACATTGCCGGAATTTGAACCTGCCAGAATGTGCTGTGTTCACTGGCATGGACTTGGTGCATGGACACTCCTTCTTCTTGGTGATGTTAGGTGGATGGGAATATTAGGTCGATACCTTCAACTCTTCACAAATATACCTGGACCATCCAATCAATGGGTGTCCATCTCTAAGTAGTGTATGGTAGTCCAGCCAGGACACCCCTTTGATGGTCCTGGTATAATATAAATATTCCAAACAACATTGACTTCTGTCTTTTTGAACTGACTTGATCTGAAGATCGGTCTTTTTTTTGAGCTGATCTGTCAGCAAAAAATAGTTTAAAAAGACTGCACGTGGTCCATGCTGGTCGCATTTTGCTTTTGTGAAAAATAACTGAGGCATAATGAGGCAAACCTTGTTGACATGTGTATTTATATATATATATACATCAGAGTTCTCTGCTTCCTGTCAAATTCTGAGGATGTTTTGAACTTTAAAGATTGACTTTGATGGACATGAAACGATGTCGGCACATCAGGTGAGGTCGTATGCATGGTCCAAGTTCTCATCCTACTGGAGTTCTCGAGAGTACTTAGTAGTCTTTCACACTTGGTTGAGAGTACGGTCGTTTCTTTTTCTTTCAGACACACAAGTTCCATTCCACGAGCTCCAACCAAAAAGCTGTTGGATTCCCTGTCGGAACCCCAAGCTCACCAAAAGGACCACTCTCCTTGTTCTGGGGTGCAAACTCCCAGTGACACAAATGCTATACAACGAGCTTGGCGCAAAGAGAGAGAGAGAGAGAGTGAAAGTGAGAGTGCAGTTCTTATCATGTTCGTTCAATATTCAATACTGTTCTGATCCGCAAAACGAAAGTAGACATCAGGCCATGGCCCCGAGCCATCTCTTTGAAGAGTAGCGATGCACTTAGCTACTAGTAGCGTCCTTGTTACTCGTAGCGATGCTGATGCTCTTGTTACTAGTAGCAATGCACTTTATTCCCATCTTCTTTCTGCGTGGCAAATGATCATCCCCACACAACACCGCGCCCTCTGACAACTCAGATCATGGCACCTGATCGGCGATCTTGGACTTGAAGATTTGAACAATGTCGCCCACATCTACAGCACACCTGACACAGCGATGGATGCTTGAAATATATGATAGTAAAATGGATGTGGTTCATTAATGGCAAAAAAAGAACAGCAACACATCTACCTGGACTCATCCAATGCGTATCCAGGGTAGTCCAGCCACAACACCCCGAGTGGATGGTCCAAATAGACGAATAGACTCCTTTCAAGGCCTCATGGACTGAGGCCCGCTGAGGCCTTCATGGACTGAGGATGCTCCATCCACTCCCTCATATGACCAAGCTTCTGATATGACTCCCCGGTGATTTTCTCAATGGTCACCGTCGCCGTAGCCATCGCTGCACAGCTCGGTTTGGACGAATGTGTTTGTTCTTGAAAACAGCTGAGTTCTTGTGTGGAAACAACACCTGCTGATACCGGGAAACCCAAATGATCTGGACAAATATGAATCCACCTCGGGGGCAGGTGCCTGGACTGCATCATGAAGTGCCTGGGGCTGTCTATGGAGGCATAGACTTTCACTCTTCGGCCTAGACTTCCACCGTTTCCATCAGAGGCCTGGTTTGCCTAATACATACGTTTGTCCCCTTTGAGGCCTACTCCTTGGAAAAGCCCGGGAGTAGAACGTCGATGGAAAGCTTCTATCGTGGCCGTTCTCCGGCTTTCCTGTTGGGCCGGGGAGAAAGATGGTTTGGATCGATGGGGAGTTCTCATGGGATCGATGACCTTTCACGAAGTTTATGCCTGCTTGCAGCTTAGGATTGACCAAACCATTGTCTTTTGGGTGGAAAACCAAAGTCACCATCCCTACATCTCCCTCTTTGCAAGATCCATCAGGCCATGCGCCGTGCGCTTCTGCGGATGAAAAGAATGCGGAACTCACATGGCCTAGTGGCTCGAATCATCCGAAAAGTGACCCCCGAGCACAGTCAACCATGAACCCAGTCGTGAGTCTTCAACCGTTTTGCGGAGAAACACTCGATATAGTAATAGTATACCGCAATACCATAGCAATATGTATAATGCCTCTTGAGGAGCAAATCCATGTAGGAGTTTGGTTGCCCTGAAGCTTTCGCTGCTTTTGACCACTTCGCAGCTTTCGCGCGTGCACCAGCTTTCTCGTTGGGTGAACTGCTATCTTCCAGTACATAGGCCGTCACTTGCTTTGGCATACCTGGAAGCAACGACCCAAGAGCACAAGACCCTGTTTCCACATCTGAATGGGCTTTACATGCTTTCCAATGGGGATGACAGGTCATGACCAATATTTGCGCTTGTATGGCCGAGACATGTGATACTGCATCTCAAGCTGGTCGGCCCCAAACGTTCCCTTTGTTGCTAGCTCGATTCGCTGACTGTCATATGATGTCATATGTCATATCCATAAGCCTTCTCTGGGATGTACAATCCTAGAAACCCTCTATGATGGAGATCCCTCATTCACAACCACCACTCACCACCGGATGGGATGGGAGCCGTCCGCATTTCTGCATTGCACAGAGTCTTAAACAGTAAATGTCAGTCAGTTTCGAACCAGCGACGTCCTCATCACGAGGTCCACAGTAGAACAAACTCGCACATATTTGCACCAGTACACGTGTTGCTGTCCTCAATCGATAAATAACGCTTCTTGGAAAAGTCTGGATCGGAGATACGTTGGCAGTTTCATGGTCAATAGGACGTTCACATGCCTGATACATACTTATATGATCTTATATGATACACCTGCACTCACAGCTGGGAAGTTCTCTCGTTGGTCGACCGAGCCGGTGTGACAGAGCTAGGACCCAGACCCTGACAAGAGAGTGATGTCATGGCCGTCGGCATCCTGCGTATGCCTCGGGAGGGACGGGTCACCGTGGGGCGCCCCGAGACGGACCACCGCGGTCGCCCCGAGACGGAGCACCGCGGTCGCTTCGATCACCGACCGCATCGGTGGGTCCCTGATCTCCCAAGGATAGCGCGTGAACATCGCCCCATCCACAAGGTGAGTTTCACATGAGAAACAAGAGAAGCTGAGAATGATGTTTTCTGCCTCATCCAATATAGTCTTGTTTAAACAATGTTTAATCTATGCTGTTCGACCAAAGACCCCATGATCTTGTAGGGTGGCGGTTGCCACCTCAAGCCCTGCAGATGACCAATCTTTGTGATATCAATGGGCCAGGAGCTTCACACCTACACTTTTTGTAGTCCATCGGCTGACATCACAGACCAGTTGCCAGTTGCCCGTGGATCTTCACCCCGGTCTGTTGGAAGCGAAAAAACGCGGCCCGGTTAGACCGCCAGTCGGCTCGGTGCACATGTGTCCCTTAAAGGGTTTGCCTCTTCCGCATTTTACCGTGGATTGGGTCTACAACTCCCAGAACTTCCCTTTTGACCGAACTACCCCACCTAGGAGTCATAGTCCACGACTATTCACAGGGTCACTCATTTGGGACTCTCGGAACGGGATAGATCCTATAAGGGTTCCAATTGTACCCAGTAGAGCGCGGGGTCAACTGTCACACCAACGCCCAAAAGTGGCCTGGGCGCAGAACTAGGGCTCGAGGTTTCGGTCAAGTTGGCCTGCCAGGGTTCACACAACATCAATCAGCTGAGCTGGGATCTTCACATGCCAAACCAGCTTCCATTAAACTTAACCTCCAAGGTCTTTGGAAGGCTCGTAGTTGTCTTCACATCTGAAACCCCAAGTGAGAAACTCAGGTTGGATTTCCAGATCGAATACGAAACTCGGCCGGCTGTTGCCCGGAAAACGCGAGTCAAAGCGTGTCGGGTCCTCAACCAAAAACCCACCTCAAAGCCTTGCTATGTGAAGCCCTGAGGGTGCATGACCAAAGACCATGCTCTTGTTTCGTACGTATGTCGCCTCATGTCGCCTCCAAAGCCATTCCAAAAACGAGGTACCTGGACCCTATCAGGAAGTATTCTCTTCGATTCCAGCTCTATGGAGGTCTGTGGACCTCCCAGGCCCACGGCACCTTCTTGTCGGGGCAGCAGGACGGATCGTCACCATCCGCCACCTCTGCCTCACCACACCGCGGGCGACACTGGCGACACTGGCGACACCGCTGCGGCTCACGACGCAAAACCAGCGAACCCCGACCGGCGAGAGAGACAGCCGTCAAGTGAAATATACTTAGGATCCCCGGAACTCTCCCCGGACATACAGTCGGGGACAGTTCCTTCTGTTTAAGTGGCGAACATCAGTCCAAGAGGTGCGGCGGTGCGGGACCTCGTCGCAGGCTGAGACGAACGTCTCAGGTTCACGTTTGTGCTAAGTCTCACCTTCTCAACTCAATCTGGTACAAAAATCCGATGCCCTCTGAGATGTTTTCCTTTTGAACTCAGGTCCCAAACGTATACCCTTTATGGATGCAGTTCTACACCATTCAATAAGCTTACAACAAATACTTAAAGATTCAACATCTTATACAACAAATACCAAAACTGCATTTTCTCCAACAAGTGTACCATCACCATCGTGGCAGTTGTCTAGAGCGACTTGCCAATAGATGATTAATATAGCGCTCCTTTCTGCTACTTATATGATCTTACATTGATCTTATAAATATGCTTACAATACATTCATGTTTTGCTTTTGCATGCTTTTGCTATGTAATGTTGCGTGCACCAATACATGCACGAGAAAACACCATGCTGACACCACGTGACACCACGTGACACTCGTTCCCGAACATCGGCGAAGCGCGCCTGGAACATCGGCAGGGCCGCAGTGGGTGGAGCGTTCCACGCCTTGGTCCACCGGCGCGGGCGCCAGCGGCGAGGAGCGCTCGACCGCGCGGCGGGGCCAGCAAACACCGAGCAGAGACCGAGCAGCGACCTGGTGATGGTGATCAATGGGTGGTGATCCACCATGTTCATCCAATCCATGTAACGAACGACCCACACCAGGTAGAACAAAGGTCTCCTGGTTTTGACCCACAACCATATATGTGGCTTATAAGGGATTGCACCGGATGGGTACTAAGCTGCAACCAGCATTTCAGCTTTGTTATCGCAGGTGTTGTGGCTCCACCTTTAACCCTTGTTGATGTTTCAATGCAAGTGGTGAAACTGTACCACAGCCCCTTCACAACTTGTGCGTCAAATCTTTGATACCCTTAGTCTTGTGATCTTGTCCCATCAGTCTGTGATCATCCATGATGAGCGTCCATGACCATCCGTTGCTCGCAGATTTCCTGCAAGGCCTCATGTTCGACCATGCCCATGCTCTGGTTTCGTTCTTACTCGCCTCCAAAACCACTCGATGTGCATCACGATCACAGGAAGACCACGGAAGACCGCTCTTTTCTTCGCGCGCGGTTCGCTCTTGGTGCCCCGGACGCACACGGTGCTCTCGTCACAGCACTCCACCCCACAGGCCTCAGTGGGGCAAAGGGATCCACAAAGAGGGAAGCCATGCAGGTCTTAGCGGCGATCAATGTATTCTGTATGCATTCTGAAAAAGATCGAGGATGCATCCCAACAACGCCATGTCGACCTCTTGGGCTCTCTGTGATCTTCTATGAAGTCTTGAAAAATACCCGGTTAAATATGTGGTTTTGTGACTCTAACTCGACTTTGTCATTTTCCTTAAGTAGACTCTTGATTAATAGACTCCCATCTGAAGAGGATTTTCAAATGGGGAGGTTATTAATCAATAGTCTACATTACACATCCTTCCAAGTCCGACTACCTTCTTTTTCAATGTCACCGCCGTCACCGCCGTCACCGTCATCACGTCCCCGCCTGAATGTAGCTCTCGCAGCCCGTGTCACAAGGCCGATGATACCTGCGGACGTCACCAACGGACCGAACGAGAAACGAACCGGACTGGGTCCCGGTGAGTCCAAACACGGGTCCATTCCGGTCAGTCAAGTGAGGTCCAGAATGATTGTTCCTTGAGCCGAAAAGGGGGGAGACCCAGAACTGAGAGGAACATGCAGATACTTTGTCTATCTAAAATGCTTGTTTTGTTTAGTGTTTCCAGAATGGACTTGCCTCAGAAATGGGTTCCAAGTTGAAATTCCTGCTTTCACCCAGGCGTTTGTGGAGTCTCTCTCACTCACACACCAACTCCCTCGGGGCGACTGGCCAGGTTTCTCGCCGACTTCAATGAATTATGTCAAGAATCGTCGCCTCTACGTAGGTTGATTGGTAGACAAATCAAATCACCCCTTCCTAGCCTCCCCTTCCTGGCCACTATGGCCAAACGGCTCCGATTGAACTAGGTTCCAATCACCTCGTGGCCATCCTCGACCGGTTCAGTCGGTTGGTCTTCCGATCGAAGGACCTTGAACCCGTCAGCTTCAGGGATTGGCGCGATGTCGCGCCTGACTTCAGCACCATCGGGGACGTTGTGGATGGCTG